CTCTCTCTCTCTCTCTCTCTCTCTCTCTCTCTCTCTCTCTCTCTCTCTCTCTCTCTCTCTCTCTCTCTCTCTCTCTCTCTCTCTCTCCACCTCTGTCTCCCCATTGCCCAGATGTAATCCTCTAGTTTTGAAATTAGTAGAAGCCTCCATCCCAGAAACTTCAATTGGTTCCCGATCGGAAGGGGGGGGGGGGAAGGAAAGAAAGAAATGACATCATTGACATGTGCATGCCTCTTAGTTGTGTTATTGGTTTTGCTGTGTCCTTTTTTCGACTCCAGAGCGTGCTGACTATGGGCATTGCCACACCACTCCCGAAATGTGAAAAAGGCAAAAATGTGGCGGATGCATCTGGACATGTTCTAGCGGGAAATTCATTGTCATTTTGCACATTTCAAGAGTGGTGTGGAGATGGCCTATGCTGTGCTGTAATGGTCATTATTTGGAAGTTGGCAAAAACGTGAAACTTGACAACAACATAAAAGTTGACGACAACATTAGTGGAAAATGTGAAGTTCGTTTTGTTTTCTTTTTTTTTTTTTTATTATTTTTTTTTTTTTATTTTTTATTTTAAAGAGGTGCGCTCTTCCTCCGTACTTTCCGTCCTGGACCGTCCGTACGAAAATTTGGACCATATCTCGCTTCATGTGTGGATGCTAATCTCTCATTCTCTGTATCGTTCCAACGCTAATGGATGTCCCAAAGGAAATACATAAACAGGACTCGCTTCGCATTCCTGAATGTTGACGACAACATAAAAGGAATGTCCTAAAGTTGAATGTACTGATATCTCACACTTTCTCTCCAACATAAAAGTTGATGACAACATAAAAGGAAACCCATAAACATGACTGGCTTCGCATTTCCGAATGTTGACGACAACATAAAAGGAATGATGGAGAAACATGACTCCCAGTACACTGAAAACGAAATAATAAGAAGAAAGGTTTGGGAGGGGGAAAAAAGAGGAGAGAAAAGCGAGTGGACGAATCATATTATTAAGTAATATTAACAAGTTAATTGTTAGAACTCGAACACCGCTGCCTTCCTACGAACAATTGGTTAATAGACGGCGGTACATATCTGGAGCAGAAGGCCCTTGCGCTACCATGGTGCAAGTCCAGTTCTGGCTGCCTTCTCTCATCGCAAGATCCCCGAGACCATATTAGAACACTTTTTTTTTCACAATGCCCAGCAGCGGTCCCCACACAGCGCTGGTGGGACAGGATCTAGCGCCAGCTGGACACTGGGTCCACATGGCCATGCGACTGGAGAGCGCTCCTCTGCGGAGCATGGTCCTCCTCCCCCGCAGGCAGCCCCTTTGCAGATAATAATCTGTTTATAATGGGAAGGAGGCCAGTTATCTGTTTAATATGGGGCGGAAAAGGTGTATACATGCATATTGAAAATCTCAAAATTGAAGGGGAAGAACCCCCCTCCCCTCCTTCAATAATGGCAACCAATACATTCACGAAGAACTCACCTCACATCACACTGGCAGAAAGTGAAAACGCAGTTTGATCGTTTCTCTGAGAAACAAGAAGATACAACTAATACTGGTAAACAATTCGCAGGGGATTGGCTGGGCAATGAGCGGGGGGGGTATGGATAGCCTACATTCGATGGGATGGAGGTCATCTCCAGGAAAAGACGGTCACCTCCAGGAAGACGTTCAGGTATGGAGGGATTAGACCATCTGCTTCAAAAGGTGGATGCAACGTGTCCATTGCGCCCTCCTGTGGAGTTCCGCGCTCCAGTCCATTCCACCCCAGCGCCTCGCCGAGGTAGGGAGTAGCATAAGCAACAGAAGCAGGTGGTGTATCCGGTGGGGGATGCAGAATGGCAGGCAATCAGCCAGTCGGCTGGGGGAGACAGCAGGGGCTAAGAGTACTGCGGTTTGAGCGGCCTCCAGCAGCTGGATTGACGAAGCCGATTGTGAATGAAAAAAGCCAAGCAATGCATAACGCAGAGGAAGGATGGATTTTCACTAGGGAGATGAAGAAGGCTAATCTGACGGCCCGTTTGGGGTGGAAGAGGTGGCTCCACGTCCAAAGGCATATTTGACTTTTTTTTTTTTTTTTTTTTTTTTTTTTCATATTTGTTACCAGGCTTCGTTCTTCTCACTACCTGCGCAGTCAATCCCAACTAATACGGGTAATCAATGCTGGCTGGCTGGTGTTCACAGTGAAGCTCATTTTTTTGATGTACAGTGGGATGCTGGACTCGCTTTCCAGCAGGTGCTCCTCCCCACACCAATTGACTGGAGTAACCAGGAGGCCCACTAGGAGTGGGTGCGCTCTTATCACCTCTCCTAGCGGCAAGACTGGTTTATCAAAGGAAAAAAAAAAAAAAACTAGAACTCCGGAGTATTGAATCATCTCTCCTATCTTTCCGCTCTTCTGCACTGCTTCAATTTCAGTTCCTATCACACGAGTAGAGATCAATCTGTGAAAGTATATGTAATGCATCGCCACTTTCGTAGTACCAGTTTCTGTACTCGAAAAGCAGAATCCACTACCCCCTCCCTTATCCTCCTCTTCCTCCTCTCCAATCCCCTGCTCCGCTTATTAAACCCCACAATTTTGTAGGGGTTCCATGTTCCCAAGACGGTTCAAAGTCCAAACTCAGACAGATCAGAATGCAGACCCTCGTCAGGACAGTCTCAGCTCGGAACGGGACACACACCCTCGCCAACGCAGACCCTCGCCGGGACAGTCCCAACTCGAGAACAGAACACACACTGTCAGCAAGACGGTCCAAACTCAGGACATAACAGAGGCCCAAAAGATGGTTTTCTTCTTCTTTTTTTTTTCCCAGATGGGGCACACGGCCGCACACCGCACTCTGGCGAGTTTAATAGATCTGATCCGTGGGTCCACTGGACCGCAATGATGTCAAAATTAATCAAATTATTTTTTTCAGGGGTAGGGAGGGGCCACATGGGTAAGCTGCAGAAAGACACAGTTTTTTTTTTTTTTTTTTTTTTTTTTTATCCATGTGTGGAGGCCATTAGACCACAATGATAATAAATTATTTTCTCAGGGGTACGGAGAGGTCACATGGGTAGTTGACAGAAAGACGCTTTTTTTTTTTTTTTTTTTTTTTCCCCCAAACCTTGTGCCGGGGCCGTGGTAATCTTCTCTGTAGGTCGCATGGGCAAGCTGCAGAAAGACAGTTTTTTTTTTCTTTTTTTTCTTTTCTTTTTTCCCCTTGTGCAGAGGCCATCAGACCACAACGATATTAAATTACGTTCTAAGGGGTATGGAAGGGTCACACGGGTAACCTACAGAAAGACAATTTTTTTTTATTTTTTTTTTATCCTTGCGCAGGGGCCATGGTAGTCTTCTCAAATGACTCACAAAGACACAGTTGCGTCAGTCCATTTTCAGATTTTGCGGCATGGCTCTCTCAGACTAGGACACAACTCTCAGGGGAAAGCGTCACACTAGGACTTTTTTGACTGAGCTCTGGACGTAATTGCAGTCAGATTCATTCAGATGTGGCCGTAATTGCAGTCAGATTCATTCAGATGTGGCCCTAATTGCAGTCAGATACATTTTGGAAAGTGCTACGTAGTTCGAGTATGCTCTCAGACTGGAGACATACAGCTACCGTAGTTCATCGCAGCTCCATGAGTTTGACCACTGAGGATGCTATGATAATTTGGAAATATTTTTTTTGAAATTTTAAATTGTTAAACTACCATGGGCCATATGAGGGCATGGGCCCTCCCATTTGGAAGGGACAGGGAAACAAGGGGTCCCGCACAGGTGTCAGATCAACCCCTTGTCTGTGGGTATGGTATCAGTTTGTAAGGGGGCCAAGGGGAATGACAAGGTGTACTTGCCCTTCTGTTTAAGCATGCCAAAAGAGAGCTGGCTCTGGACAAACGGGAGTGGTGTCTCCCCTCCCCCCCCCCACCCCACCCCAAGAACTACAACAGGAAGAGCATTCTGCGTGACTGCGTCATCAGATTGCCACAAAGGTGTAAGAAACCGTTTGCTGCTACCCTAGCGTTATTGCTTCTATTTTTTTTCCTTCCTTCGCTGTTCTTTTTTTTTTTTTTTTGTGTGTGTTGTTCATTTCCGAGGAGTGCTAGAAAAGAAAATACAATGGGACCCAGGCTCGGCAAAACTCGCCACGTAGTGAAAATCAGGGTCGGCAAAAACAGCCTCTGAGGTAGTGGTGGTTTAATGCCCCCACACAGGGTCACCAGCCCGTACGTACGGAGGTCCCTGGGCAGACCTCCGTATGTACGGGCGTTCGGGGTCCCGTACGGGGTCCGAACCCGACGGCGTTCGGCCCCCGCCAAAAATTATTCCGGGGCCTAAAAATAATTATTTTTTTCTGATTTTTTTTTTTGTGTGTTCTCTATGACTTGAGGTACATGCCTGTAAATTTTCAAGTCATTTGGCTAAGCCAACAAAGAATTAAAAATCCCCATAGATGGCGGTGTCAAAACGTGCTCGCCCACGTATTTTTTCACTTTTTACTTTCGGTTTTCACTTTAGTTCGGGGTCTAGACAATTTTATTATTTTTTGGAACGTTTTTAGTGGGTTTTGTATTATGTTAAGTACACATCTGTAAATTTTAAGGGCATTTAGCTATGCCAAAAAAAAATGAAAAATCGCCAAAGATGGGAGTGTTGAAAACATGCTCGCGCACTCACTAAATTTAATTCTCTTTTTATTTTTATTATTAGTATTTGTTTACCGTATTTTATTTTTATTTCAAATTTGGTAAGGAATTAGGATGTAATGCTCAGGCAAATCTTGTTTAATTTTTTTTTCTCCATAACATATCCTTTTTTCAGATTTTTTTTGATGACTTTGGTTTTTTTTTTTGTTTTTTTTTCTTGGGTCCGCGTTCGGCCCGAACGGCCGAATTCTTATTTGATAGACTTTATTTAAACAGTTATACATTCTCAAATTTAGATTCAGGATTTTGAGAATAAATTGATAATCCAATTAATATGTTCAATTAATTAAAAAACTTCAATCTGCACGAGAAGCCGTATGAAATCAAAGTTTCATGTACGGTTTTGCAAAGTGGTAGGTTAGACGACTAATTTGCCAACTTTAACACTACTACACCTAAAAAGCCAAACTCCGCGTTAAGAAAAGTAGCTAGAGTACCATAACAGATTCTTTTGGAGATACCAAATCTTGGTCCTCTTCTGGTTCAGTGGGATTTAAAGGATCTCGTCGTTCAACCAATTATGCTGCTCAAGCTACTGCTGAGAATGTAGCGCGTGCTGCTATTCCATTAGGAATTAAGTCAGTTGAAGTGAGAATCAAAGGTTTAAGTTATGGAAAGCCTTCGGCCTTATGTGGTTTACAATTAGGAGGTCTTATTATAACCAAGATTAGCGTTCGGGTTCGGGCGTTCAGGTTCGGGCGTTCGGCCCGTCCCGAACGCCGGTTACCCTGCCCCCACATCTATTGGGAGCATAGTTGCGGCGCACCAGTGCGCAGTGCGGGGTGGGGCGGTGCGCACTGCGCTGTGCGCTGGAACGACAGCGCGCACACTGTGCGCCGTGTGGTGTGCGCAGTACGCAGTGCTGTCCGCTGTGCGCGGTGCGCGCGCTGAGGGAGTCGCGCACTGTGCGCAAAAAAAAAAAAAAAAAGGCCCCAAGAGAGAGAGAGAGAGAGAGACAACAAAGGGTCCCCTTCTCGTCAATTCGAGGCCCCCTGCAGGTACCTCGAATGGCTCCTACAATACATGTGGAGCCACTAAGGGCCAGCTTATATGAGAAGGATGGCCTCGTCACGTGTGGGAAAGACGTGGGCAGACCACCAATATATGCTGTGGATTCTAGTTCAGGGCTGTAGCTCGGCAGTTATGGGTCACCAATTCAGCTAGACCCTGTTCGCGTCTCCACGTGATTCTCAGGGCCTCCCTCCACCACTCAGCAAATGTATATAATATTAGTAGAATGAATCTTCTGCTGAAACATGGAACCATACACCGCCATATGCTATGTCTTTTGTGCATGGTGAGTAGCGGAGCAGGCCCCACTGGACGTATTCGTAAGAAAACAAAACCAAAAAAACGAGAGAGCCACGAACTGAGCCACGTGATTCTCAGGGCCTAACCCATAACTGCCGACATGCGGACCTGAACGGCAATCTTCACCATATATTGGTGGTCGGCTGGCAATAGAACATGCAATTTGCGACTTCTGCGAAACTTCGCGGGGCATGTCGTTATTAGGCGGCTACCCCTTCTTGCGAACTGACCCCACTACTGTGTGGGATTTGCGGAAGGCAGCGGGAAGGACATCTCTCATACCCCGCCTAAAACAAAAGTTGGAATGAGCCCTATTTTGTGCCTCGCCATTCGAAACTTTTTGGGGAAGGGCCTGCGAAAATCGAATTTTCAGCAGCCCTTACACAAAAGAAAAGTTCGGGCCGTGGGCGCGGCCGGTTTGTGAACTTGCGCGGCGAGTTTAACATTTTTGCCGAGTTGGGGGCCCTAAGAAATTAGAAAACCCCTACTTTTTTTTCTTTTTTTTTTGGACCTAATTTTCCAAGTGCGCTGCGCTTCGGTGTGCTGTGCGGTGCGCGGCGCGACGTGCGCAAACCGGCGCACCGACGTGCGCCGCAACTATGATTGGGAGTGGGTTTTTTTTTTTTTTTCTAACTCATCTCAGGGTTTCTTCTTATTTGGTTTCTGCTGAGGCAGCGTTCCCTTTTCTTTTTTTGGTAAAATTTTGTTCGTTTTATAAAAGCTTTGAATGTTTTACTTTTAACACTGGTCTGTCCGCTGTTTCTTTTCTTTTTTTTTTGGGGGGGGGCGGGTTTGGGGACTCGACTTCTTATTTGTGCAGGACATCAGGACAGTTCTCAAGCACTTTGGAAGTAACATTGTGTTCTCCAATGGACTATTGGATCCCTGGAGTGGAGGATGGTGAGTCAGTTTGTTCAACTTTGTTGTTAGACCTTTTTCGAAGTTAGTTTTTCACTTTTTCGGAAGTTTTTTCCTTCTTTTTCTGACCTTTTTTTTAATATTTTTTTTTTCTCTTATTTTTAATTTTTTTTTTGCTTTTCTTTGTGTTTTTTTTTTTTTTTTTTTTGGTATGGTATGGTCCCCCAAGTTGACCATGATGCAAAGATTGAACTGATGTAATTGAGATACAAATTTGAAGCAAAATTGCACAAGAAAGTTCACGTGCATGATTGCACACCAGACACGTGCATGAGTGCACTATGTCACGGTTTCAACTGCAGGCACGCGGTCTTCCGCCAGGGGAGTTTCCACTGTACACCTCCCTAGTCAAGAACCTACGTTCCACACGCCCACCTCCTGCGCAGCACCCTTAGACATCTCTGAAGATGGCCGCGGGCTTAAACAGCATAGGACCCGGAAAAGACGTAGGGCTTCGCAATCATGGGTACATGTAGTCGTCGATAGGTAGGTGGTGAAACGGCCTGACATTACTATTAGCTGACCTGTACTGACTCGTCCAAACAGCACTCTGCCGCCTATTCTACTCCTCACGAGTACAGATTGCAAAATAGCAGCCAGCGCCTGAGTGTCAAGTCCTCGGGCCCTCTGACTTACCTATTTATGAATTTTATGTCGAAAACATAGACGGACAAAAAAAGCACAGGTTCCAGGATCAAAGATCAAACATAAAACGACGTAAGTGGTACCTCGGTTCGAACCCACTACTGCATCCTTCTAATCTGCAAAAACACAGATGAGTGGCCTGATCCGAATACCCCATACATGCAAGCGGATGCTGTCCGGAAAATTTCGCACGTTTAGCGCACGAGCAGGACCGCACGGTGCGGTGCACGGGAGACATATTCACTCAAAAAAAAAAAAAAAAAAAAAAAAAGACTGCATGACTGGGTCAATGGTCCCCTGCGTCCCTTTGAAGATATGTTATGGGAAGGGGAAAAAAAAAAAAAAAAAAAAACTAGTGGGAGGGTAATACCGCTACCTAAAGGTCCAGACTGATGTTGTCCCGGACACCTTTTTTTCAGGCTATTCCTCATGCGGCGCTCAATTGGACAGCAATAAAAATTTGTACGACTGTACGTGAAAAAGATCAGTTCCTTGCACTAGGGGTTTTTTTTTTTCCCTAACGTGGGAATTTTGGCATCCGGGCGGTCCGCGGACCTACCGGCCCGACGGCCCGGATTGCCCCACGATCTTAAGATTTTAAGATCGCGCGGCGATCCAGGCCGTTCGCGATCTTACTGGCCCGATGGCCCGGATTATCCCGCGATCTTGAAAACTTTAAGATCGCGGGGCAATCGGAGCCGTCGGGCCGGTAGGACCGCGAACGGCCCAGATTAGAACTTTGCAGCCCCACTGAAGTTAGGGCTGCCAGGCGTGAGGAGAAACCGGTTCCAGGCGGGACGGTCTCCTCTTGGGCTCAGCGGTTCGGCCCCTCCGCATATCTTTGGCGGCGCACAGCACACACTCACACGAATGCCCGCCCGTCCACTCCAACAAGCACATGCACAAGCACGTGCACGCACACACACATGCACGCACAGCACACACTCACAGGAACATCCGCCTGTCCACTAGAACAAGCACATGCAAGCACACACGCACAAGCACGAACACACACATGCATGCAAATGCATCATGGGCAGACTGTCGGGGTTCAACCTCCTGATGAGCTGGTGAAAGTCCAACGAAAGTCTGGCACAGTCATGCTTTTTTTCGTGGGGTTCACACGAACTGTGGGTGGGTGGGTGCACGGGCGCGCGCGCGCGCGAGAGAGAGAGAGAGAGAGACCAAGCACCCTACCATGACAACGCTGACTGATGAAAACGAGGTTGAAGACGCTGATGAAGATGAAAGATAAGGAGTAAAGAGCACTATTTGCAAGGACAAGGTGAGATGATAATGGTGTGGGGAAAGGGGGCCGAAACAGGCTATGGTGGTTTCTTTCCTACTCACTCTGATCGTGGAAGGGAGATGAAGCGACATGAGGGGGAGGACGAGGCTATGGTGGTTTTGTTTTTCTTTCCTATTCACTCTGATCGCGAAAGGGATCGAAGCCACATGAAGGGGACGACGAGGAAGAGGAAGAGGAACACGAGGAGGAGGAGAAAAAGCAAGGCGAAAGCCTAAGAGGGAGGGAGGGTAGCGAGGCAGAACAAGACGGGGCTGGAGGAGGAGAAGGGGGAGGAGGAGGACAAAGGGGAAGTACGAGAAGAGGGGAAGTGCAGAGGAGGGAAAGGGGGGAGAAGAGGAAAACTTGGAGGGAAAGTCGAAGGGGGGGTGGAGGAGAAGCTAGGTGTAAGTCGCCGAAGGGGTGTTGGAGGTTTAAGGCACGAAATCACACACGCGGTTAGGATATGAAGCACGAAATCGTGCTTTCATTTTTCTTTTCGTTTTATTTTGTGTGTGTGTGTGTGGGGGGGGGGGG